TCTCTCTCTCTCTCTCTCTCTCTCTCTCTCTCTCTCTCTCTCTCTCTCTCTTTGTGTGTGTGTGTGTGTGTGTGTGTGTGTGTCGCCGCCCGCCTGCTTCCGACCCTCCCGTCCATTCGGCTGCCCCTCCCTCTCACCTCTCCCCTCATCCATCTCCGGTCACTCTCACAGTCCACACTCCGCTGCCACCCCGCCGCTGCGCCACACCCCACGCACTGCACTCCGCACAGAGCCGCCGTAGATCCCTGCGAAAGAACGCTCGGATAACGTCGTCTGCCCCCCCGCGCCCCGCACGACGGCCAAAAAAAAATTCCGCCCGCCCTTGCCCGATGCCCACACAGGCCCGGATCCGCCCACCACAAAACGCCGCCACCGATTTCCCTTGCTCCAATCCCGCCCGCAGTCCCGCCACGAAACGCCGCCACTGATTTTCCTTGCCTCAGTCCCGCCCGCCTCCACACCGAATTTTGCTGGGCCCGGCGGGAAGCGTCACGCTGGGCCCTTTGCATTCTTTAAGAGTATAGGGATAGAGGTTATAATGTATACAGTCTCTTTTTCCAAGCTATAAGCGGTGTCGCATACTATTCTAACCGGAGATAGATGGAAACGATTGGAGTAGAGGGGTCTGTCGTTGGCGGGCTGGTTGTTGAAAAGGTTGGTTGAGATAGTCAAAAGTGGTTAAAGTAGAGGGGTATGTCGCGGTGAAGAGATGGTTCGATCAGTGTAAGGGCTTGAGGTAGGGGGTATGCCGCAGGTGCGCGGAATGGTGAAGGGTAGGGTTGAGATGGTTCGAGATGGGGTACGGGGGAACATGGAGGGGTGGGTGGAGGTGGATGTGGAGAGGAGAGACCGCCTTTGGTGGGGCGGAAATGGGGAGTTGTAGGGTAGGCCGGGGTACGGGGTCTGGATGCAATGAGTGGAAGTGAGTGGTCGGAAATGGGGTGGGTATAAAGGTGCAGGGTTGGGGGCGAGGGGGCGATCCGGTAGGGGGGGACAGGCTGGGAGCACAGAGGAGTAATGAGCGAGGTTGAGTGTGGGCGGAATGGATGAGGGCTGGGATAGGGGGGGAGGGAGAGGGGGGCTGGAAGCCGGGAGGGAGAGGAAGGTTGATTCGGGTTAGCCGATCGCAGGGGCGAGGGGTATGTAGATGCGCCTAGGGTCGGATAGGTGGGGTTGACTGGGGGGGGCGGAGTTATGGGGTGTAGTGGAAAGAGGGAG